AGAGAGAGAGAGAGAGAGAGAGAGAGAGAGAGAGAGAGAGAGAGAGATTGAATGTCAATATAATAGAAAGTGACAGAATCAGAATGCAGCAGTTTAAAAACTTCCAATCAAGAAAAGATCAGGACAAATGGCTTCACTGGAGAATTCTACCACATATTAAAAGAATACCAATTATATCCAGGCTTTTCCAGAATTAGTAGAGAATCATCTCTAGCTCATCCAATGATATCAGAATCACCTCCATATCCAGAATACACAAAGATACCACAAGAACAGATGCTGCAGGACAGTACCCCTTATGAATGCCCCTAAATGCAAAGGTCTTCCATAAGTGGGAAATGAGGGACAGGAAATGGGGCTGCCCAGCACCTGTCTAACATGCATGAGACCCTGGGTTCCATCCCTAGCACTATAAAAGGAAATACATAAAACCGTTATCAGGCTGGGGAAATGACTTGCCATTTGCACTTGCCACAAGCCTGATCCTGATGACCTATGTTCAGATCCATGGAATCCATCTTAAAAGCTGGATGTGGGATGGAGAAATGTCTCAGTGGTTAAGAGCACACAATACCTTCTATAGGTTATGAGTTCAGTTCTCAGCAAGCAATGAGGCAGCTTACAGCTGCCTGTAACTCCAGTTCCAGGGAGTTCGACACCGTCCGATCTTCATGTGCACTTTGCACACATACGTACACACATAGAGACAGACACATATCCTATATTGAGATGGGAGATGGGGGCAGGAGAACTGACTTGTCAGGAGGACCCAGGGAAGTGGTAGAAATAGAAAGCCGGCTCAAGCAAGGTGGAAGGAGAGAATCAGCTCCTGAGAGTTCTCCCCTGACCTCTGCACATATGCTGCAGCATGCATATCACCTAAACACACACACGCACACACACACACATGCATATATGCACACACACACACACACACACACACACACATGCACAAACATCAGCAGATGGAATCCAACAGCATATTGTGGATACACCATGACAGTCATGGTTGGTATTAATGCCAACTTGCCACATATTAGAAGCACATGAGAAGACCCACTCAAAATGTGGATAGCACCTTCTGGGTAAATCCCTGACATAAAGGGTATGGCAGGAGGAAAATAACTTGCCTACAGCTCACCTGGCCTTTCTTCTTGCCTCTGAGTTGATTAATCCTGTTGCTGCAGCTCAGGATTCTTTATCTGATAGTAAAACCAGTATTGCCAGGTTTCCATACTAAGAACTGATGGCCCTTCAGGAACTTTCAAGGTTTTTAGCTCCCAACTTGGACTAGTGAAATATCCAGTACCATGGATGGAGCAATTACCAGGTTGTTGGCCTCTCTAGTGCGACCCATCCACTGTGCGACTACTTCAATTACTGAGGTACCAGCCACAAAGATCAAGCAACTACTGTTACTATCTCAACATAAGCTGATTTCAGGTAGAAATCTATCGATCTATCTATCTATCTTCATCAATCTTATTTATCCATCTGTCCACCTGTCCGTCCATCCATCCATCCATCCATCCATCCATCCATCCATCCATCCATCCAGTTGTCTAGGCGGCTGGGTGGCTCTTATATTTAAGAGCCCAGGCTTCAGTTTCAGAATGGTCAGACTCAAGCTGACCCACATCACCTAGAAGTCACTTAATACTCTTGAACCTTAGTTTCTACATGAAAAATGTGGGATCATAAGAGAAAACCCTTCCTTATGGGGATGCTGTAGTAGATAGATATTAATTTAGGATCTCCAGCACAGTGGTAACCCACAGTCTTGGCCCTGAGTCACTGTTGGGCACTACTACATGCTCAATCAAGGACAATAGAGAGACATGTGAAGTGTGTTTGAAGCCAAGGTGAGACCATTCCTTCTCATGTCCTTTCACACAGTTAGCCATGGACCTTGGTCATCTTTGGCTCAGGAGTAGGAATGTCAAGGTTGCTGTTAAGCTATGTTATTTACAAAGGAGTAGAAGGAAGAAGGAAGGGGGCTGAACTGATGAGTGAGAGAAGTGGGGGCGGCAGGATGTAAAGGGGCATTCAGTTAGCCTTGTATCCCTGACCTTAGAAAACTTGTCAGGGATGGAGAGGAAGTGCCCGGCCTAGCCCAGGCAGAGTCCACACTCACCCTCACAGGTGCGGGTATCTTCACTGAGGCTGTATCCAAGAGGACACTCACATCGGAAGGTACCATAGGCGTTGGTGCAGTTGCCTCCCTGGCACAGTTTGGGTAGCTCCTGGCATTCATCGATGTCTGTCAGGAATTGAGGAAGCTGAGGAGGAGAGCTACATCTGGCAGAGGACTTGAGGGATCCCCACAGGCTGCTCGGGATCTTATGGGCTCTTTAAAGTATTCCCCTAATAGTTATTTCCGCGACTGTTGGGCATTTAGAGAATCTATCTCAATGGCTGGATACTTGAGTTCGTGCTGGCCTGATCCCAACTCCTTTAATTCCATCTTAATTTCATCTTCCCATGCATGATAGTTTCCTCAGGCTAGAATATCTTTCCTAACATCATCATTCCCCAAGAACAGAATAGATGGGAGAATTGAAGGCTGGATATGAAAAGTAGTGATTGACAGAAGAAGTGATTGCTGAATATGAAAAGAGTGACTGGGTGAATGTGCAGGTCAATGGATGAGAAGATCACGTGTGGATGAGTGGAATGATGGGTAGAGAGGCAAGTAGTTAGATGAGTCAATAGGGATAGAGGATGGGCAGATGATATTGGTAGATGGAAGATGGGTCAATGAAGTGGATGGAAAATGGACGTAAACTTGGGGATGGAGGATTGATGCATGCATGGATGAATAGATAGATAAGAAATGGACAGATGAATGGATGGACGGGGGTGAATGGGGGATGGATGGATGGGGGTAACTGAATGAGTAGATGGTGTGGTGATTTCAATGAGAATGGACCCTCTAGGTTCAAATGCTTGAATACTTGGTTCCCAGTTGGTTGAAGTGTTTGGAAAGGATTAGAATGTGTGGCCTTGTTGGAGGAGGTTATGCCTGCCTGCTGCCATGACGGTAATGGTCTCTAACCTCTGAATTGTAAGATTTAAAAAATCTCTTTCTTCTATAGATTGCTTTAGCCATGGTATCCTATCACAGTAGGAAGGTAACTAAGGCAGATGATGACAGGGCATGGGTGAATGATATGGGTGGTTAAGTGGATGGGTGAGTAGATGGATAGGATGAGGATGAATGGATTGTATGGGTGGATGGGAAATGGGATGAATTGATGGATGATGAATGGATGGATGACCGGATGGATGAATGGGTATAGATAGGTGAAGGATGGATGGATAAATGAAGGAATAGATGGGTATGTGGGTAGGTATCCATGGGTAGATAGGTGAATGGAGGCTGGATGGCTAATTGACTGGTTGTCTGAAAGGTTGGGTGGTTAAATGGATGAAAGAATTGATGAACGGACAAGTGGATAGATGGAAAGCTCAATTAATAAACAAACAACTGACAGAAGAAATGACAGAACAGATTAAAAGTTTCATACATAATTTGGTTCTGCAACAAAGCCTCCAAGTAGAAGAATGTTTCCCCAGGCTGCCCCCCTGGACACTTGGCAATGTGCTGATGAGAGAAAGACCCATCAGTGCATACATAGCTGGATCAATAGTCTGTCAGGAACTCACCTTCCAGAATCAAAGTGATGGGATTTGGCCGGAAACCCTTACCACCGGGGCACAGGGTCCTATACTCTGCTGCAAGGGAAACAGGCTCACATGAGGAACTATGAAGAGAGGCACTTGGGTTAAACCTAGTGGATGGGAGTGGGCCCCTTGAAAAAGATGCAACATGGGTGCCCCTTCCTTTGCTTTGCTGAACCAATCATGATTCATATCCTCAGCTTTGTGGAGCTGCCTAGTGATGGGGTGTATGTATAAACATCGATTCCCATCCAGAGCATGGATAGTGGATCGCAAGGGATCCTGGTTTTACTGAACTTCACTCTTTCCATTTTACTCACCCTCCAAACCCATACCCTACTTGGGACCTGCAGTTTTCTGGATCCCTAGTCCCTAGCACAAGGCATATAGGAACTCATTGCTTGCTGACTGATTGAGTGATGGATTGAATATAAACACAGAGAGAATTTATAGAAAGCAAAATTGGAGAGAGGCCTGGCCTTTGAACTGGCAAGGGCGTGCGTTGTGACCCAAGATCCTTTTCCTTCCTGGTTCTACATCCTTGTCCTCCAAAGCCTTCTGCAGGCAGAGAAACCCTGCAAACTTCTGAGTCTCTGGCTCAGGCTCACTGGCCTGCAGGGACTCACAGGTGTTGCCTGTTGGACACAGCTTGCAGGGGTTTCCCCAGGCCTGACCCAGGGAACAACAACAAGACGCTCTGCTGACACCAACTCCAATCTCTGCACTACAGGAAATGCCACCGTCATCTTGGTCCTGAACATCCAGGAAACAGATCACAGCCTGGGTGTCTGCATAGGCAAAAATGGGGGTTAGCACATGAAGAAACTATGTATTTCTGTGTATTACCATGACCTCTATGACTTCCTGGTTGCATATATGTGTATTTCTGAGTGTAACTGTGGCCTCCCTCTCAGTCTTTGTGTCTGTCTGTGTGTAACTGTGTGCGAGTTTATATGTGCCATGTGCTGTTGCATACATGTGTGTAATTACCATCTCTGACTGTAACTGTATATATTTGTGTAACTGTGTGTATTAATGTGTCTAGTTGTGTCTGTAATGTGAATTTGTGCATACAATGTGCTATGCATAATTATGTTTCTTTGTTTGTAACTTTATATCATGTTAGTATGTTTCTCTGCGTGTAACTTGTCTTTGTGTATAACTGTATTGTGTATAACTTTTCTGTATATGTGTATATTTGTGAATAGATAGTTATAATTATAGATTTTCTTAGCTATGATAAAAGATAAAGTAGATATAAATATTGTAACCATATTCTTGTTCAATACCTATTTTGTTATATGTAATTTTACTATGTTAAACTATGTTCTGTTTATTTAAACAGAAAAGGGGAAATGGTGAGGGAAGTCCTCCTGCCTATGTGTTGCTTTTATTGATTCATGAATAAAGAAACTGTCTTGGGCCTGCATAGGGCAGAATAGAGGTAGGCGGGCAAAACTAAACTGAATTCTGGGAGAAAGAAGACAGAGTCAGGAGATGCCATGTAGCCACCAGAGGGGAAAGATGTGAGGATGTAGTTAAAACCTTGCCGGTAGGCCACAACCCTCGTGGTAAAATATAAACTAATATAAATGGGTTAAATTAAATATAAGAGCTAGCCAATAAGAAGCTAGAGCTAATAGGCCAAGCAGTGATTTAATTAATACAATTTCTGTGTGGTTATTTCAGGGCTGAGCAGCCAGAAACAAACAACATGCTACCAGTTTTCTATGTGTATTATTGGATGTCTCTGTCTATTTGTCTGTGTTTGAGTGCGCTTTTTTCTTTGTGTTACTTGTCACTGGCTGTTACTGTGTTACTATGCATCTGTGTGTTGCAAATTTGTGTGCATAAATGTTCCTCTTTGTCTTAGTATATCTGTATGTAATTTGTTTCTCACCACAGGTCTCTGTGTGACATGTGTCTATGCATTATTATGTATCTCTGTGTTACAATAGTCTCTCTGTGTGTCTGTGAATCTGTAGTTAAGTATTTTTCCGTGTGCAATTTGATCTTGTATGTTAACTGCAGGCATATGTATATATGCAAATGGTATCTCTGACTATACTACATATATCCTTGCATGTAACTGTATGTGTCTATGTACAGAATTGTGCTTCTATGTGTGTAATGGTTGTCTCTGTATCTACCTGTGTCTGTGTAACTGTGAGTTTATATATCCCATGTGTAACTTGACTGTAACTGTGTATGTGTGTACAGACTGTTTAATTATGTGTGTGTAATTGTGTGTGTCTCTGTATAAGCAGTCACTGTCTCTATATGTAACAATGTCTGCATGAAGTTGTGTTTTTTTGTGGGTAACTGTTGTCTTCTAAGAAGCTGCATGTAATGTGTCTAAACATTGTCTCTGTAAGTGTGTCTCTATGGTAATTGTGTGTGCCTCAGTGTTTTTCTCTGGGTGTAACCATGCTATGTATAATTGCGTGTCTCTGTGTAGTTGTCTGTCTTACCCTATGTAGTTCTTTGTATGTAACTGTTTGCTGTTGTCCTTGACTAGAACCATGTATTTCTATGTGTAACAACTGTGTATGCCTCCATATATGCCTGCGTGTTTGTATGTAGTGGTTGAATATATTCCTGAATGGGCAGGGAAGGTATGCACGTGTGTAAAATTGTGAGTGCATGTGACCATGTGTGTCTAGACCGGAAGGCAGTATCACAACAGATGACGTCTCAGCCCACACTTGTCCTGCATGTTGGGAGCAGGAAAATCTACACAAGTTGACATCCAGGGTGACCCAGGCCATAGCCCTGCCAGTAATACAGACTCCTGAGTTACCCAGCTGTTGCCATGTGTGTACTCACCAACACAGCCAGTCCCACTGGGGGTAAGCTGAAAGTCCTGGGGGCAGTTGCAGAGGTAGCTGCCAGGGGTGTTAACACATAGGCCATTGATGCAGTTCACAGGATTTGCACACTCGTCAACATCTGTGAGGCACACACACCATCATCTGCTAAGAGACTTCACTGTACCCCATCCCTCCCTTTCTCCTGAGTGTCCATAGATTTCAATGGGCCCACTCGGGTGCTGGAGTATGAATCTTTGTTGTTCCCTTTGATGGAGCCAAAGAGGACATGGCTTCAAGAGTCTGCCTTCGCCGTTCAGCCCTCTCCCTTCCCCTGTTCAATTCCATTTGGCCTAGGTTTATCTCCTTCCATACTCTTCATTTCTTAGTTTTTCACAGCCAACATATGAAACTAATATTAGAAAACACCTTTGATTGAGGTGTTGGAAAACCACTTTGAAGGCCAAATGTGGCCAGTGCTTGTTTGTATCAATAAAGTTTTATTGACACATGACTGAGCCCATCTATTTACTTATCGTCTGCAGGAAAGCTAGTGGTGGCAAAAGACACCTAGAAAGAATGCAGAAAATTTTCACCACCTGTTATTAAAGACACTGGGGTAGGGGGCCGTTTAGCAGATGTGGTGCAGAGGGCACTTCATTTGTCCACTGCGTTTGCTCAGGAGATGATGAGAGGGCAATTGTGATGGTAGTTTTTAATAACCAACTAAACACAACCTAGACTAACATGGGAAGGGAGTTTCAGTGAGGGACTGTCTCCATTGGATTGGCCTGGGGCATGTCTGTGGGAGTTGTATTAGTTAAATTAATTGATGTGGAAAGATGAAGTTGTACCATTCCCTAAGCACTTTTAGAGGAGTAGAGAAATGAAGCTTCTTTGCATAAGCATAGAAGCAAGCATACATGAATTTATTTTCCACGTATTTATTCTCTCTCTGCTCTTTGATGTGAATGTGATATGATTTGCTGTCTCAAGATCCTGCTGCTATGACTTGCCCACAGTGGTAGACTTGGGGGTGGAAATTGACTTCTTTCTTTTCTCTCCTAAGTTGCTTGCTTCTGGGACACTTTATCAACCAACAGAAATGAAACCAAACAGCAATGATCTCAATGATTAAAAACAGAAAGTGGGGGTGGAAAGATGACTCAACAGTCGAGAGTTTGTTGCTATTGCAAAGGACACATTCAAGCAAAGCTCTCATACACATAAAATAAATAAATCTAAAAATAAAATTTTAAAACAAAGGAGTGGTGAGGGCCAAAGAAGCTCCCTAGGTGGGTAAGAACACTTGTACAAGCACAAAGGCCTGGGTTCAAATTCTCAGCACCAATGTAAAAAGTTTGAATGCTCTCCTGCAACACTAGGGTTAATGGTGGAGACAGGAGGATGGCTCCAGCTTTCTGGCTGCCAGCTTTGCTCCAGGTTCAGCTACAGATCCTGTCTCAGGGGAATAAGGTGGAGCGTGATAGAACAGGATGCCTGACATCCTCCTCTGGACTCACATGCATATTTGCCCACACATATTCCAGATGCCTATACAGAGGTACATACCCCCAAATACACACATGCACACAAAAGGGGGTGGTAGAAACTATTTTAGAAGAGAAGTCAAGGTGGGTGTAGTGTGGGAGCAAGCCATGCCCCCCCTTTTGGGTCCTGTGTTCTTCAGTCGCCAGACAGGGTGACTGCATACCTGTGCAGCTGCTTCCAGTTTTGTCCAGTTCATAGCCATCCTCACAGAAGCAGTGGAACATTCCAGGCAGGTTTTCACAGTTCCCAAACATGCACAGGTTCCCAAGAGCACACTCGTCCACATCTGCAGGGACCTCATTTCAGCCTACCATGTTTGATCGTATGCTCTGGAAACTAGCTCACTGTGTACACCCACTGGGCTGGACAGGGCTAGGCTGAGACTTACCCCAGCAAGCTCGCTGGTTCTTGGTAGGGTGAAAGCCTCCATCACATTCACAGAGGTACCCGCCAGGTACATTGAGGCACTGTCCGTTATCACAGAGGCCCACATTCTCCATGCATTCATCCTTGTCTGAGAGAGAATAAAGCTGAGAACCAACTGGGTTGGGACCCACATTGAATGGGCAGGAAGTGCCTTTAACTATTTACTTTAATCCAGAATCTCAGGTGAGAACCCCGGGAACTCAGATACTAACTCTGAATAGGCAGATAACCAAGATTGGGGATTAGGAGTGAAAAGGTGGCCCCTGACATGTAGAGTCCATCTGGATGCACACAGATTCACAGTCAAGGAAGCAAGAAGAGGATTAAATTGACTACAGTAGTGTAGATCCTAAAGAAGAACTAATAATGAAAGAACTGGGGAGCAAAAAGCCTGCGGAGACAGCTCAGCTGGTAAATTCTTGCTACTCTAATACAAGAATGAGAATTTGACCTCCAGCACCCAGGTGGAAAAACCCAGGTGTGGTGGCACAAATGTGTAATCCATTCCGGGGAGATGGAGATCCCTGAATCCTTGGAGATCACTGACCAACCAGTATAGCTTAATTGGCGAGTCCTAGGGGCCCCAACCAGGAAAACTGCCTCCAAACAAAACAAAACAAAACAAAACACGAAACAAACAAATGAACAACAATGATAACAACAACAGCCCAACTCAAACCAACCAATAGACCAGCCAAACGAAAACCCATAACTAACCACCAGCCCAAGGTGAATGACTCCTGAGAAAGGAACTTGAAGTTAACCTCTGGCCTCCACACCTACTCACATATATGTGCACCTGTACATGAGTGCATCCTCCCACACATCTGTGCACACACACAATGTAATAACAATAATCTTTTAAAAATCAGAAAAAAGATGGTAACCAAAGAAGAGGACAGGTGGGCATGCAGAGAGTGGCTCTGTGAGCTAAGGACATAGATCCTCTAGTACCCATGGGGCAGGGGAGGACAACTTAGGCACCATGGTTGTCCCATTCAGGCCCTGCCCTCCACCTCACCTTCACAGAATAAGCCATCTCCAACAAATCCTGGTTGGCATGTGCAGTGGTAGGAGCCCAGGGTATTGAGGCAGTCAGCTTCCGGAGCACAACGATGTTGCTGGATGGCACATTCATCCAGGTCTGCAGCAGACAGAGCCGGGATTCCCCGGTATGGACTGAGACTGTGGGGAGACTGACTCTCCAATCCCAGCCCCACGTGGTTCCCACAGACCACCTCCTAGTCCTCCACCCTTAATCCTGTCTTGCCTTCCACCTACCTCTCTACCTTTCAGGGATGTCCTGCCCCTAGGTACTCACCATGGCATTTGAAGCCATTTCCAGTCCAGCCTGGGTGGCATCTACAGATGAAACTCCCAGGGATATTGAGACAGGAGGCGTGCCTGTCACAACTGTGTCTTTTAAACTCACATTCGTCCACATCTGAGGGGAGAGGGAACAGTGGTAGGAAGCAGTCACAGCAGGGAAGACTCAGAGAGGCAACGACAGAAAGACAGATGGAAGACTGGTCTTTCCAAGGACCTTCTGTTTTCTTCTATAACCCAAGGAAGAAACCTCAAGGCCACCAGATCTGACCTGCAGTGATCCTCAGAAATGACTGGAAATGTCAGGCAACACGAGAGACTCATGGTAGACACTAAGTGCAATTATCCAATGAACAGTTAAACCAAGATTCCAGGCTTTCCAATTCTGAATCAGTGTGAGTCACTGTTTACTAAATAAACATTTTTTCTATATAGTTCCTCACTTTGACTTGCATGAACATATTTTATTTTTCACCCATCAATCAATTCATTTCTCTAAGGTTAGTTATCTATCATCTGTCTATCATTCATCCATTCATTTTTAAAGGTATCTATTTATCTGTCTGTCTATCATCTTTCATCCATCATTTTTTATAAAGGTTATATATCATCCATCCCCCTATGTATTTCTATCTATCTGTCTGTCTTCATAGAGCCCGGTCATTGAACTCAGGGATTTGCACACTCCAGGCAGGGTCTCTAGCACTGAGCCATACCCAAGCCCGGTATTTTGTTGTTCTGAGACAGACATGGTTTCACTATGTAGAACAGGCTGGCCTGGCATTTGAGATCCTTCTGCTTTGATCTTGTGAGTACAGGTGTAACATATGTGAACCACTATACTTGATTATAAATAAATTTTAAAGTAAAAGTTTATATCAACACTAATAACTTCAAAGAAGTATTGGAGTTTGACTGGATGGGTAGTTCACTGATAGAGTGTGTGCCTAGCATGAGAAAGGTTCTGGGTTTGATCCCCAGTGCTTCAAAATACATACATAATACATTCATATTAAGCAATGTTTAAAGAATTGTGTGGGCCTGAGAGACAGTTCAGTTGGTTAAGTGCTGGCTATATAAACGTAAGGACCTGAGTTCTATCTCTATCACCCATATAAAAAGTCAAGCATGGTGGGGTGTGCTTGTAATCCTACGTCAGGAGAAGCAGAGACAGAACGATTTCTTCACACTCATTGGCCAGTCAGCCTAGTCTAATTGCCCTGCCTCAAATTCAGTGAGAAGTAGGGTGGATATGAGAAATTACACAAGGTTGACCTATGGTCTCTATAAGCACATGTATCCACTTGAACATGTATCCCCTCCCACAAAAACAGAATTGTGTATGTGTAGATACAACACCACACACACACACACATACACACACACACACACACACAGAGAGAGAGAGAGAGAGAGAGAGAGAGAGAGAGAGAGAGAGAGAGAGAGAGAGAATTATGACCTCCCAAATCTATGAAGGTGAACCTTAGTTAAAGATGATTTTTTTTTAGATGGCACTAAGTTACAGTGTTATCATGGTTTGTTTTGCATCCTGATTCAATAAGCTCTCCTAAGAGGGGAATTTGGGCACAGACAGACAGAGAAGAATACCAGGCAAATATAAAGGCAGCTGTGGGTATAATGTTCCTGTGAATAAAATTCTACCACAGACTGCCAACAACAACCAGAAGTTGGGGAGATGCCTAGGGCAGGTCTTTTCTCTGTACCAAGAAGAAACCTACCCACCCATCCCCTGATTCCAGCCTTCTAGCTGTCATTCTGGATAGAGAAAATATCCTGGGGTTTGAAGTCACCAGGTGTGTGTTGATTTGTGTTTGATCTGAGATGTGAATTCTCTAACTGGTTAGATGTTTAAATGCTAATCCATGTACCATGCAAAAACCATCTGGCTTGCTTGCTTTGGGAATGCTGCTCTCTCCTGTGGGGTTCCCTCTATTGAGCTCTTTAAGAGGCTCCCAGGGTGCTTTACTGTCAAGAGGTTTCATTAGTGGAAGCAGTAAGAACGAGTCTCGTTGCCTTCTATCCTAAGGCATGGAGACAGTGCTGATGATCTTCGAGCTGGCTCTTTGGATCTTTCCAGCTCCAGCTGGTTGACTTTTCACTCACCAGAGCAGCCTGGAGCTCCCTTCCTGATGACATAGCCCAGGTGGCAATGACAGGTAAAAGATCCTTTTGTGTTCTCACAGTTCCCATGGAGACAGAGGTGGGGATTCATGTCACACTCATCCACATCTGTAGTGAGGACAGAGTATGGGTTATGAGGGCTGGATGATGGGAGAGGAATAGGGTTGGAGCTAGGGCTAGGGAAGGGAGGCAGGCCATATGAGGGAGATCACCAGTATTCCTGAGTAGTTGCCACACAGCAGAATCTCCTACTAGGCTGTGTGGGTGTCTGCAAAGAAAAGTGTGACGGTTAGTTTTGATTGTCAACTTGTCACAACCTAGCATCACCTCAGTGACAGTATTGTCTACACTGGGTTGGCCTGTGAACACAGCTGTAGGGGATTGTCTTAAGTTTACTAATGTGAAAAGATCCAGATCATTGTGGGTGGTACCATTCCCTGGCAGGAGTGGTCCTGAACTATGTAAGAATGGAGACATGGAGCTGAGTAAGGAAGCATGTGAGCATGTAGGTATTCACGTCTCTCTACTGTTGACTGTGGATATGACATGACCACCCTGTGTCTGAAGTTCTTGCCTTGACCTCCCACACAGAAAGACGAATTCTAACATGAAATTATAAGCTATAGTAGACTCCTTTAACCCCTACATTGATTTTTGTTGAGTTTTTTTTTTATCACAGCAACAGAAACAAATTACTAACACAGGTTGAGCGCTCCCTCTAGAACCAGCATTAGATAGCGAGTCAGGCTGACTCAAGGTTTCCTCAGAGGCCCCAATGAAAGGACAGATGGAACCTAGCTCTGTGTCCTTGCCCAGTGGCAGGCTTGTCAAGGTTCAGTCTGGGTCTAGGGTTAACACCTCAAAAGAGTTAAGGTTTTAGTTCCCAGAAACTTGACTTTCCCCCTTGAAGATACTATAGTTACCAGTCCCAAGGCTGCTGTGTGTTCAGATTGTGATGAAGTTGAGAACTACTGGGCTCCCTTTGTGTAACATGGCTTGATTAGCTTCACGCAATGAAGATCCCATTGTATGATGCTCCCTTTGTGTAACATGGCCTGATTAGCTTCACGCAATGAAGATCCCATTGTATGATGCTCTCTTTGTGTAACATGGCCTGATTAGCTTCATGCTGACCTCAAACCATTGTATGGTGGCTTTCTGCTGACTGTGTTGCATCCCCTGCCTTGAAAACTGTATATAAGATATTGCCCTTCCTAATAAACTCGATTGGTATGAGACATAGCTTGTATAAGACCTCTTGGTCCTAAACTTTCTTGCTGTCTTTATCTTCTGATCCCCTTAGGCTCCTGTCACTGAAGAACAACCTGCTGGCCCAGGTCAGATAGTTATGTCTTTTATGAGCATTTCACAGTGCATTTTTCATTCCATGTTACATTTCATGGAACACACCTTGTATGAGTTCCCCAAAGTAATACATGTTCAACTATATGTAACAAGGGCTTTATGTCACCAAGATAGCCAGGTTTTCCTCTCTGGTCCTTAGAGCCCAAGCAGAGGAAAGAGGGCCCCCACACTCACCTGCCTTTCACAAAGCTAGCCAGGTTTGTCAATACGTTCATGCTAACATGTATTTGGATGGTGTGCTGGGGTGACTAACTTATAGACTACATGTAGGATAGTTATGAGTGTGGTCCCAAATAAAATCACAAACTTACTTAAAACTCAATGAGAACTGCATTGAAAATTTTTGGGGGTGACTTACTCAATTGCATGGTTCTGGAGTTTGAACTTCGTAGGCCATATCCTGTTATGTTAAAAAGCAGGACATGCCTTCTGGGTAGAAGTGTTGCCTCAACTGTATTTTCTCATTAGTACCTTCTAAAAGGTATTCTCTGACATCCCTACTAGCTGAGACTCTCAGGCTCTACTGGGTTAGAAAGCCTCTGGTGGGCTTGTTATCACCAGGAACTTCTCTGCTCGAGCTCAGCTCTGCCCTGTCAAGGTGCCCAGTATGCGTCTACTCCCCAGGAGGAAGGACTGCCTCTGGCCTGGTGGAGACAGGGATTTGTGCTGTCCAAAGAGCTTTGGGGAGGTCCTCAAACAGTGATCAGCAAACAGTTCTGTTTTGAGCAATGCTCAACATTGGTTAAACCAACCAACCAACCAACCAACCAACCAACCAACCAACCAACCACCCTTTGCCTGTAGTTATTGGTGCACAGTCTGTGGAATGAGCACAGGTCTCTGACAGGTGTTGGACATATGGTGAATGTTAAATGCAGAGGGGAATAATAAGGTTGGGGGCGGATCTCTGTTTCTATGACAGGATCACACAGACTATGAAGAGCTGTGTTCAGGATGTGTCCCTAACCACCAGCCCCTGCTGCTTACCTACACAAATCTTCATGACTGGCGAGACTGAGAAGCCAACATAGCAAATGCAATGGTAAGATCCTGGCACGTTGGTACACTGGCCTTCTCCACAGATGCTTAGGTTTTCTTCACATTCATCCACATCTTGAGAAGCAAGGAGAGGGGACGGGTTGAAGGTGGACAGGGACATAGGAAGAGTTCAGGATCCTTTCCAGGGCTTAGATATTTGGGATCTGACTGATTGTGCCTGGTTTTGGGTGAGGTTACTGTCTAGCCTAGACCTTCTCTGGTGCTCACATCCCAAGCAGAGGGCATAGGACACACCCACTACCCTGTGTATGCCCTCCTATTGGGCATCCTGCATTGGAAGCGTCCCTTCACGTTTGTGCACAGCACTTCACATCCACTGTTCTGGACTTGGTATTCGTTGATGTCTATAGGGGCAGACAAGAGGGGAACCAGGTTGGTGAACTTGGGCTGAATTAGGGGTAGAAACTCAGAGGAGTTTGGAAAGAAGGCTGGGAAGAACTGTGTTGTGCAGGGAATTGCAGAGAGCATCCTAGAGATGGCATAGCCTCACCCATGCAGCCCTGGCCATCAGGAGTGCTCTGGAAACCTGTGTGGCAGGAGCAATGGAAAGCACCGATGACGTTGATGCACTGACCATGGGGACAGAGGCTGTCACTCGTGGTGCATTCATCGATGTCTGGTGGGAGGAACACATCTGGCTGGTGACAGAGTTTCTGATGAAAGAGCAGCCTTACTGTCCCTCATCCCCTATCCGTCATCACCTGTATCCCAGTGAGCTCCCTCTGGCTGCTTGCACCAGCATCCCTCCCTTTGATTGCCTGTCTACTCACAAATATATCTTTTAATTATGCACAACTCAAAGTCACGCACGTTTGCAGACACTTGCGTTCGCCTGAAGAAACATGCTCACACCTAGAGGCATGATATAAACACACCTTATACACACCCACCCACACTCATCCTTGTGCAAATATGAACCCACACCAAGACACACTCAGATACACTCATACTGTGTGTGCTTATATAAATGTACACAGAAACACAGCCTTATATTTACTCATATCGTAAGCTCTTGTGATTGAACATGGTCCCAGGCTCGTTGTGCTATTAGAGACGGATGTGGAACCGTTAGAAGGTGAGCCTCACTGGGAGAAGTGGGTCACTGTGGACCATTTTTGACATTTTATAACTCAGTTGCACTTCCTAAATACTCTGCTTCCTGACTGTGGATACAATGTGGCTTGTTGCTCCTGTAGCCATGGCTTCCCTGCCAGGCTTGACTGTACTCCAGACAATGGGACCATAGTCTTGGTCACAGAAAGGAGAGTCTCCAACATGAATGCATCTCCCTTGTACTAACATGAATCTGTACCTCATCCTCACATATACTCTTATAGGTACACACACACACCAATGCCCATTTACATGCAAATATATAGACTTGCTCATCGCTTATACATTCACACCCAAATATACATTTCTGTTCTCTTATAGGCTCATCTAAATGCACACATACTCAAATGCAAAAACTTTCCCTTGCACATCCACACACACCTACACATCGATTCACAAACACACTTGCTTTTGCACAGGTACAGCTTCATGGGTGTGTTCACAGATACACTTCCCATTGGTCTTTGTTTCCTTCCTCATTACTGTGACAAAACATCTGACAAAAGCAACTCAAGGGAGAAGCATTTACTTAGGCTCACACTTAGATACAGTCCATCACAGTAGGGTAGTCATGGTGATGGGAGTATAAGGCAGCTGGTCATACTGCATCCACCAGGAAACAGAACGGGATGAACACTGGCACTCAGCTCCCTTCTCTATAGTCAGACCAGAGCCCCAGTCCATGGGATGATGCCACCTACATTCAGGTTGGGTATTCCCCACCTCCATTAACTTAATCTAGGAACTTGAGCTCCCTCACAGACATGCCGGAGCTTTGTCTCCTAGGTGATTTTAGATCCTGTCGGGTGGACAATATTAACCACTTCACTCTCTGGCGCACACGAGACACTATACAAACCACTACTCATGCACATATGTTCACACACACACACACACACACACACACACTTTTCCATTTCACACTCACCCTCCAACAATCTTGTGGATGAGAGCACACATACACGGTTGATCTTCAGAGACACATCAACACACTTCATCTCACATTTTTACCGTACATTTGGATAGACACACAGATGTGAGCACGTGCCGGACCCTGCCACTCCTTCATACCTTGCTGCAAGCTCACCTTCACAGGCAGTGCCTTGGGCCTTCAGCTCGTGTCCAGGAGAACAGCGACACTCATAGCTCCCTTCCGTGTTGATGCAGGTGCCTCTCTGGCAGAGCAGCGGGTCCCTAGCACATTCGTCTACATCTGGACACGTGAAGAGACAGCAGGCTGATGATGCTGACCCGAGGATGGGGCGGCTAGGGAAGCTTCTCTGGGTGGCACCCCTTCATCACATGTTTGCAGTCCAGCCATACCTATCCTTCTACCTCTCATACCCATCCCAGGGCTTTTGCATGTGTCCTTCTGCCTCCGTGTCATTTCTCAGAATTTCCCTAAACCCTTAGGTGCACCCGAGATCCTTCAAACATGCTGTGGCATGCGGGTGGAGGCCACAGTGGACAACTGTGACAGTTCCTTTTCCTCTTGTATGGTGTGGGCACCACAGGTCAAACTCAGGTTGTTATGCTTGGCCTCATGAACCTTTACCCACTGAACCATTCCACTCATCCCCATCTCTCAGCCACTTCCTGTTCTCTCTACCCCATTGACTCTCACTCTCCTCAGCCACCTTCCTGACCTCACAGAATACGCAGATCTCCTGGGTCCTTATTCCCATCAGACCACATAAGAATTTTGTTTTCTTGGGAAAGGCTTTTTTAGCTAGTTCTTTGAGAGTTTGAATACACTTTGATCTTACCTTACTCTTGCTCCCACTTACAGTCCCCTTCCTTACTTCACCTAACTTTGTGTCCTTTTTAAACCCTTCAAGACCAACTTCATTTGTCTTCCCATGGAGTTGTGAAGTCCTTTGTGCTTAAGCTCTCTGCATTATCCCAGTCCAGTGAATGTGTGTGACATGTTTGCTGAGTAAATAACAAAGTGAATGATGGGGACCTGCTTTATTTTGGAGAAAAGGCCTTGTTATATAGCTCAGGTTGGCTTAGAATTGGTAATCCCCCTGCCCTAGCCTTCTGAGGGATGACATTAAAAGTCTATGCCCAAGCTAGATTCTTCTTAAATGGTTTCTCTGGGGGTAGTCCCTTTCCCCATAAGACACACATTCTCAACGTGCTGTCTTAATGACAGTATTCCACGGTAGTCCAACAGCACACTACAGCTTCTCCTCACATCTGCACAGTAGCAGCATGCTTGGTGTTCCTCTTCTGGACATCCCTCCTGCCCATGGCTCTCTCTCTGCCATGGCCTCACCCTGCCACCACTCACCCACGCAGTTCTTCATCAGCAAAGAGCCACCAGTGAAACCGGGAAAACAATCACACTCAAAGCTGCCTGGGGTGTTGACGCAGGAACCGTGGCCACAGAGGTCAGGCGAGATACGACATTCATCAATGTCTGTGAGGACAGAGACATATGGGCTAGAGGTCTGTGTGTGCAAACATGAGGATCCACAGGCCGGGGGTTTCAAGTAAGGGGACATATGGAGCTGGGTTTCTGTAGACATGGGGGTTACCCAAGAGCCCCAAGAAACTGAGCTAAGTCCAGGAAGGATAAATGCCTCAGGTGAACACAGAAAAAGAGCAAGAAATTTCCTTTCAGAGCTAGTTTTGGCCTGCCCTCCATAGACAATAGAGATCTGCAGCCCAGACAGGGTGGTGAGCTGTCTTAGGCCACACCCATAGCTGGGTATGTTAAAAGGAGATTGAAGAATGAACCTTGTCTTCACGTTCAGTTCAGGGACCTCTCCCACAATTTCCTGCATGCATAACCTGTCCTCACCAGGCGGGGAGTGGCACCTACCTGTGCAGTTCCTTTCTCGGGCATCCAGGGCAAAGCCTTTGTCACAGGAGCAGTGGAAGCTGCCCACAGAATTGCGGCAGGTGCCATGTGTGCACAGGCCGGGGAACACCTTGCATTCATTCACATCTGGAGTACGGGTTGGAAACAAGGTCAGATAAACCACTCCGAAGGTCTTTAGTCTGGGATTCATACACTAAGCCCTCCCTAGGTTCTTACCTCTTGAGCTTGCTAACATCTCTACCTTAAAAGATTTTCATATTTATATTTTATGCATGCATGTGGGTGCAAATGCTGTAGAGGTCAGAAAAACAATTTGAGAGTTGGTTCTCTCCTTCCACTGTGTGCCTCCTGAGGCTTGAACTCATAGTGCCAGGCCCAGAGGAAAATGCCTCTATCTGCTGAGCCATCCTGCTATCTCTTCTTTTTCTTTTCTTTTCTTTTCTTTCTTTTTTTTTTTTAACACAGTACCAAACTCACTATGCAGCCAAGGGAGACCTTGAGCTACTGCTTCCACTTGCCAAGCACTGGCTTGACAGGCAGGCACCACCACACTTTGTGTGTGTGTGCACGCATGCGCGCACACGCACACACCTGTGTATATGGAGGCCAGAAGACAGCCTTAACTGTTATTTCTCAGGAGCTTTGAGGAGGGAAAATCATCTTTGATTTTTCAGACAAACTTCCCCACTGTCCTGGGGCTGACCTAGGCTGGCCGGCCAGTGAGCCTCAGGGATCTATCTGTCTCTGTCTGTTCAGCTATCAGATTACATCTGTTTAACTTGTACCCAAGAATTTACATAGTTGCTGGGAATTGAACTCAGATCCCCATGCTTGCAAGGCAAACATTACATCAACTGCATTATCATACCAACCCTGCTTTTTTTTTTATTTATATTGAAAAAGTCTCATGTAGCCCAACCCAAGCTGACCTTGAATTTCTGGTCCTCCTGCCTCTACTTCCTGAGTGCTGGGATGACAGTCTTATATCACTATGCCTTGGATACTAAACCTCCTACCTGCAAATAATGCTTCCTACCATCAGATCTTTGCCCACGCTGTGCCCTTTACCACTTTCCCTTCCAGGACCTTTTTCCTTTGGTGTGCTCCTCCCCAGACTAACCTTTATAGAAGGGTCGGCCAGACAGGAAGTCCTGGCTGGCAAAGCCCAGCCCTTGGGGACACAGCTTGAAGAATTCTGGGGAGCTGTGCTCGGGGCAAACCTTGCACTCAGCTCCCCATGTTGTCCCAACGGAGCAGCAGCAGACATCCATCCGGTACTTGCCAGGCAGGGGAATTCCGCAGTCATCCTCATCCCAATTTAGGAAACACAGGCCCAGCCTCACATCTGCACAGAGGAATGGCTGATCACTGAGTCCTATCATTGTTACACTTTGGCAGGATTATCATTTGGTATCACTTGCCTGAGATCCCCACCCCCAACAAAGATGGATTCAAAGAGCGATAAGATGTGGCATTCTCATGCTGAAGTCTGATGTCACCACACTGCCTGGGTCCTTATTATGTACTAAGTATTACTCTAAGTAACTCCATCCATTTAGTAATGCCTAGAGGAGGGCTGAGGTTGTAGTTCAGCAGGAGAGCTCCTGCATAGAATCCCCCAGTGAAAATCTTGGGTGTGTGGCTCAGTGGTAGAGACTCTGACTAGAATATACTGGGATATTCTAGAATAGGATATAATAGGATATAACATACTAGAATATGGCCAGGAGATTTGCTCAGCAGTAGAGCACCTGCTTAGAATCTTCCAATGAGGGCTTGGATGATGGACCAGCAGTGTCGTGCCTGTCCAGAACCTGCCAATCAGGAGCTGGGACATGGCTTCTGTAGTGGAGAATTTGCTAAAATCCACCACCGAGGAGTCAGGTTGTCCTTGGCAAATTCTAAAACTAAGTCACTATCTAATCCTTAGCCTTGGTTTCCACTGCACCAAGACAACATAAAGTGATTAACGTTTGCCACACACACATGTGTGAAGCAAGATCTAAATGCTGACACAACACCAAAAATACCAAGTAGTCCATTTCTCAAGATGCGTTCCCTTTGTCAAGCAATGCATGATTGTATGTTTCTCCACAGAGCCTGCACAATCCTGAGAGTGAGTCTCATGGAAACCCATTAGAGTGAGTCTCATGTTTGTGGTGATGTGTCAATTAACAGAGTTACAGCTCTGACTGCAGGCTGCTGATGGTGGTGATCAACATGGGTTACATCCCGCAGAGTGCTTTTTTCTTTTCTTTCTTTTTTTTTTTTTTGCCTGTGTGGTGGTGTAGCATGCATACATGTTTGATATTGGTGTTTCTTTCTCATCATTCCCCACTTTGTTTATCGAGGTGAACATTTTCAGTTGAACCCAGAGTTCACAGGCTAGAGTAGTTAGCTAGCTTATTCTAGAGTTTCCCTATGTCTGCCTCCCCCATGCGGGGTTTACTGGCAGCCACCATTTTCATGTGTGTTTCACTGAGCTATCTCCCCAGACCGGCTTTTGATATGAACCTAAAACTCCTAACACAGTCTGCTTGTATGTGGGGTGTGTGCGTATTTTAAGTATGTGTACAAATAAGTTCATGTGTTCATGCATGTTCATGCATGCATATGTGGTTAGAGATTAATGCTGGATATCTTACACAGTCACTTCCTATATTATTTTTGAATTTTACACAGGGTCTCTCATTGACACAGAGTTGAAAATGCAGCTAGACTGGTTGGCCAGTGAAGCCCCAGGACCTACTTGTCCTGCATGATACTAGACCTGGTTTTTTATCCAAGTTTTCATGCTTGAGTGGCAGGCACTTTACCCACTGAGCCATTTCCCCAATCCACTGTGCGTTTTCAGAAGCAAACAAACCAAAGAAGAGTCATCAGGATCCATCAACCCACTGACTAGGAAAAGAGCCCACAAGGGGGCTACAAATAGTTGGAAGATGTACAGGCAAAATACATTTTCTTACTAGCTGACAAATTGTTTTGGTCAAGAAGTGGCTAAAAGAGCCAGTGAACCCAACTAACCACATGTTAAAAATAAAATGTCCTATCAGAATCTAGATTAAAGGACATCTATCTTTTTGACACTGCAACATGACATCACCTACAAATCTTTGGGACCCATTGGTAGCTATTATGGGACACATATGGCTTTCAGGTGGTAAAGTTGGCTGTCTACCCAGGGACCTTTGACACTAAGTATGGAGCAGTGGAATACTACTGGCATCGAGCTTCAAAGGTAGGGATGTGATGGGGTGGATCAGTGAGTAAAGGAGCTTGCTGTCCGATGATCCAACCTTGAAACCCTGATTTCCATCCCTAGAACACATGTAAAGATGTAAAGAGAGAACAGACTCCACAAAGTTGTACTATAATATTCATATACATGCATGTGCTCCCCTCTCTTGCACAAAATAATAATAAAAAGTCAAAATATTTTAATTTAAATAAAAATAAATAAAAAACCAAGGTGAACGGTTCCCTAGGAACTACACCTGAGACTGTTCCCTGCTGTCCTTTCCAGCAAACATGCACACATCCCCACAGACACATGTGCATCCTCAAGCGTAAACATGTACACACAAGTACAAGCACACAGGCAAGAGAAAGCAAACAAGGAAGCAAGCATAAGCATTGCACTAAGAATAAAAGACTGTTGAGTGCTTGGCCATAGATGGGCTGTCTATATCACTTCCTCCAAGACTCAGGGAACACTGTGAGAGAAAGGGACAGAAAAGGGGTAAGAACTGGGAGCAATGTGGAGTGCTGATCCTCTTGAGCTCACAGGAATTGTGATTACCTGTTCAAGATCTGAAGAACCCTGGGCACATCAACAGTCTGCTCAGTCGTACAACCTCAACTCACCCATGCAATTCCTCCCCTCAGGGCTGAGCTTGAAACCTGCATTGCACACACACTGAAAGCTGCCTTCTCTGTTGATAAAGCAGCCTAGGTGGCAAAGGTCACCATGGGTGATACACTCATTCATAGCTGTGCAGAGGAAACCACAGGCAGTGAGGAGGTATTATCTTCCCTTGGCCAGGCTCCCTCTCCCCATTTCCTCCACTCTTGGATAGATGAATGGATGAAAGAAACGAAGATGGGTAGAAAGGCGGTTGTATGTATGGGTGGGTGAATGAACAGAGGTGTAGAAGTGTGAGTGGATAGATGGTTGGCTGGGTAGGTGGATGGATGGGTGAGGAATAAAGGATGAATGAATGAGTATGCTGGTCGATGGGTAGATCAATGGGTGGTAGATATTTGGCTATATGGGTAGGTACATGAGAAGATGGATGGGTGGATGGATGGATAGATGGATGGGTGGACAGAAGATGGATGTGTGGGCAGGCAGATGTGCGGATGGATGAATGGATGAGTGGATGGGTGGGTGGACAAAGGGTTGGGTGAGTGAATGAGTAGGTGAATGGATGGATGGTTAGGTGGGTACATGGATGCGTATATGGCTAATGGGTGGATGGTCATACCCACACACACCTCCTTGATGAACATGGCCTGGAAACCTTCATAGAAATGGCAGTAGTGGGATCCATGAGTGTTAGCACAGTTACCACGGTAATGCTGGTACATTTTTTCATGTCTTTTCACATAAGACCCTGAGCCCATCAGGGTTGTGCCCGCTCAGCCACAACTTGCTGATCCATTCTCCATGTGAAACAAGGGAATAGCCCAAGTTGCATTTACAGTAGTAGCTGGAAGGGGTGAGCTGGCAGCAATTACTGAGGTATAAGCTGGTGACACGGCAAGAGATGTCAACAATCTGGTTTGCAATGGAGTGAGTGGCTGTGTTTGCAACGGAGCTGACAGGGATACCTGAATACCAGAAGTCCCTCACCCATCCAGAGCCTGAGCTTTGCCTCTGGGTTCTGATACCAATAGAACTTTTGACATGTTTGGCTCAGAAACCACACCATCTTCTTGTTTAAGCTTGCCTATTCAGATGGCCACCCCAGGCCTAGACCCTCACCGTGGGCACAGTCTCAGGTGTAGAGTAAAACTCTTTACTAGGGTTTGAGGGTAAAATGTCCCTCACAGGCACATGTTTTGTGTGTGTGTGTGTGTGTGTGTGTGTGTGTGTGTGTGTGTGTGTGTACCTATCTGTGTGTGTGTGTGTGTGTGTGTGTGTGCACGTGCCCATGCGCGCGTGCTATTGATGAGCTCAAGGTCCACTGAGATACGCTGCCTTAAAGAATAAGATGACATGTGGATGCCGTGTCAGTCTGTCCCTTCCACTTGTTTGAGACAGGGTCTCATCACCTCTGCTTATGCCAGGCCGATTGTCCTGGGCCTCCAGAGACTCTCCTGTCTCTCCCATATTACAGCAGGAACACCCTGGGATTCCGCATGAAGGCCACTGTGTTCAGCAGATGCAGGGTCTGTGAATCTGAACTCAAGCCCTCACACTTGCACATCAAGTCCTTTACCTATTGAGCCATCTCTTCAGTCCCCCATCTTACTTTATTTTATTTATTTTTTTTGAGGCAGGGTCTGTCACTGGACCTAGGGCTAGGTTGGCTGGCTAGTGAGTCCCAGGGGTCCTCATGTCTCTACTTCCCCAGCACTGGAATTGCAAACTCATGTTATTACATCTGGGTTTTTAAATGTGGGTTCTGAGGACTGAACTCAGGTCCTCATCATTGCCCAGCAAACACTTCACCAACTGAGCCCTCTCCACGGTCCTTATTTATTTTTTGTTTTGAGACAGCATCTCACCAAGTCCAGGTTGGATTTGTGCTAACTACGCAGATGAGGGTGACCTTGAACTCCAAATCCCAGTTCTCAGATTACAAATGTGCACTCCCATGTCTGTTTTATGCAGTGCATTGTGCAGAAGAAACTCATGGCTTCCCACGTTAGGAAAGCACTCTACTGACTGAGTCACATTTCCCAGATCCCTCATGTGGGCTTCAAGTAGTAAGGGATACCTTATAGTTCCTGATACAATACAATGCTATGCTAGTATCTCTCTGTGTGCGTATGTATATTTGTGTGTGTGTGTGTGTGTGTGTGTGTGTGTGTGTGCTTGAGAAAGAGAGAAAGAACTTATGTGTGAGTGTGTATGTGGGTGGTTGGTGTGTGCATATGTTTCTTTTTAAAAGATTTACTTTTTTGTGCCCATGTATGTCTGTACACATGTGCAAAGTTCCTTCAGAGGCCAGACTCTTCTGCTATTGGAGTCTCTGGAGCTGAAGTTACAGGCAGTCTGGATCTCTGGAAGAGCCAGCTCCTACAGATAGTTCCTATAGATTGTTCATAAACAATGAAATGAGTTGGCAAATGTTTTCTTCTCCAGTATTTTCTAATGTTAGTTTAAACAGTAGATATGGAAGGCCAACGAGAGTTGCCCCCTGGGACTCCTTATCTAAACTCCAACTCCATCAAAGAGAAGTTTCCTTCCCTTCTTCAGGATTGCTTCCTCAGGCTCAAGTCCAGCCCCAGTTTTTGAAACCTCCTGCCCCACCAGGGCTCACCGCTGTTGGAGTTGCCAGAACTCAGTGTGGAGCCTTGGTACCCATGCCCATTGGAACCACGGTGGTTGTGTTGTGCTGGTCCTAGGGAAGACCCCAGGTTATTGGCTCCAACTTCTGAGAGTCCAGGGAAGAGGTCTGCATAGGCGGGCAGCAGTGGGAGCCCCTGGGCACACAGTCTCAGGAATTCACCTGCAAAGGACAGAGTTTGAAGACCAGTGATGAAAGGTGTTTGCCTTGCGAGCGTGGGGAGCTGAACAAAGGCAGAGAAGAGGGAGAGAATCGACTTCACATAGTTGTTCTCTACCTTCTGCAGACATGTGCATGAATGGTCCTCCCATCCCACAACAATGAATTGAATAAATTTATGCCCTGGCAATGTTGAACATGGGCAGTCCATATATGGTGGTTCATCACACAATAATAAAAATAACAACAACAACAACAAAACATAGGACAGAATCTGAAGCCAGGCCATTGATCCCACCATGGCCTCTCTACTTAGAAGCTCAAACTACCACTCACCAGAACCCCTTGGAGGACACAGCTTTGGGGATGGACCAGTCGCCCAGCACCTGCCCTTGTCACAGCAGCACTGTCTGTGAGTGTAGTGGCCAGTGAGACCTGCAGCACACTGACCTCTGATAAGCACTGAGAAGCAGGTGCCCACCTGGCGCTCTGTAACAGGACACAGAGAGGGGAAGTTTAGCACAAACTGAGCACAGATGGGTTCAAATCCCAGCGGTACCTGCACTGCTTGTAGAACGGCTCTCCTTGACTGTCATAGTTATGTTTTCTCATCTATAAATCAGGGTGCTCCAAGCACCCACAGTGCCCCAGAAGAGGAAAAAGCAGGCATTGAGCTGGAGAGATGGAAAGTACAGGGTCTGAGTTTGGTCCTCAGGACCACATAAAAAGCAAACAATCTGGGTGTGATAGCATGCAGTTTCAATCCCAGTACCGAGGAGGCAGAGAGGGGTAGATTCCTAGTGCTGCCTGCTCTGTCACCCTAGCTAATGTGGTGAGTTCCAGGCTAGGGAGACCCTACTTCAGAAAAGGGTAGTCAAAGCAGGAGGTGCCCTCCATGGTTAAGAGACTTGCTTCTTCCTAGAAAACATGAGTTCAGTTCCCAGCACTCACACTGGGTGGCCAACAATCCCTTGTAATTTCAGCTTTAGGGGACCCGATGCTCTCTTCTGGGTTCTGCAGGCACCTGCACATAGATGGCACACACTCACACAGATACATACACATAAATAAAATATACACAATAAATAACATAAATTGTGGTTCCACTGAGGCCCAAAGCCAGGACCTTCTGCATGTAAAGCAGACATGAAAACCACTACACCACACACACACACACACACACACACACACACACACACACACACACAC